CTTTATTTTTCTTTCTGCTGTTCTTAGTAACAAAGCAACTTTTCAGTGAAATAAAATTTAACCTCCGAAGTTCTATGAAATGTTAAAGAACAACAACACAGAAATACGCTGCAGCATCTACAGGAACTGACAGACTCTGTATAATAACCTGTGTTTTCATTGTTAGCTCCACTTTTGACTGTTGTTTTTAGATAGATAGACAGATAGACTTTATTGTCTAGAACTGTTAAAAAGAAACAACAGTCGATAAAATGTACTGTTCAGTGTCTTATTTCATCTTGTTCAGGGTGGTTGTTGCAGTGGGAATAGAGGATTTCTTATCGATGTTCTTGCGGGCCAGTGGGACTTTGTAACATCTGCCTGATGGAAGTAGCTGGAAGGAGTGATGGAGGCTGAGGGGAGTCCTCTGCGATCAGGGTGGCTTTCCTGATCACAGAGCAGTTATACAGTTCAGAGACATGAGCTTGTGGTGAACCAATGACTTTGCTGGCCTGATTAACAATATGGGAGAGTTTTGTTTTGTGTTCAGTGGAGAGGGAGCTGTACCAGGATGAAGTGTTGAGTGTGAGGATGGATTGGATGAGTGAGGTGTAAACCAGGGTTAAAATGCCTCTGCTGACATTCAAAGTCCTCAGTTTCCTCAGCAGGTGAAGGTGCCGTTGTGCTTTTTTATAAACTGTATCCACATGATACGCAAACAACAGGCTGGTGTCGATCTCTGTTCCCAGATATTTAGAAACTTCAACCTGCTCGACAGACTGACCCTGGATACTGAGGGCCGTAAAAAAGGGTGTCAGAGATTTGCCTCTGCCCCCACAGCACAACTCCCTCGTTTTAGAGATGTTAAGTTCCAGAGGGTTTTTATCAAAAACTCGGGCACGGTTGTTGACTGCCTGCTGGTAACAGGTCAGCACAGTGCTGTCCAGCAGCTGAGCCACCAGAGCCATGTCGTCTGTACATTTAAAGAGTCGTTCCTTCACTGTTACAGGAGATGCTGTGGGTGTCCACAGAGAAGAGAATGGGGGATAAAACACAACCTTGAGGGACGCCTGTGCTTAAAATCAACTTGCTGGATTTAAAACCATGTAAAAACACCTGCTGTGGCCTGTCACGTGAAAAACTCTGAATCCATAAAATCATGTGGGGTGAAGCTGAAGGTATGAGAGGTGGTGCAGTAGGGAGGAGAAGTCCATGAATAAAATCCTGGTGTGGGGGTGTGCCGACTCCAGTTTTTGGTGTCAGTGGTGACAGTGTGTAAAAGTGTGAGACATGCATCTTCTACTCCACATTGTGCCTTATTGGCGAACTGAAAGGGATCCAGTTTGTGTGGCAGCATGTGTGACAGGCAGTCACCTACCACTCGCTCCATGCATTTACAAAGCACGGAGGCCAGGGCCACTGCTCTGCAGTCCTTCAGCTCTTTCGGGTGGGTTTTTTGGGAATAGGGATGATGGTGGATTCCTTCCACAGATTAGGGACACACTTGGAGTCCAAAAGGAGCTGGAAGAGTCTGGTGAGGACTCCACCTAGCTGAGTGGAGCAGTTTCTGAGCACCCTGCCTTGGAGCCTGTCAGGCCCACAGGCCTTGTGTGGGTTGACTCTGCGTAGGATGGAGGTCACCAGCTGCTCGTCGATGGTGAGGGCTTCTTCTTGGGGAGAGATGGAAGGTGAGCAGGTCCAGTTGATTGGTGTGCTGCTGCTGTTAAACCGGGTAAAGAAGGTGTTGAGCTGTTCTGCAAAGCTGGTCTGGGCAGGTAACCACTGCAGGTTTTGGGGCGCTGTCCATCATGATGTTTAACCCCTGCCACGCCTTCCTTGCATTTCCTGAAGTCAGCTTCTGCTCCACTTTGTTGTTGTAGCTGATTCTAGCTAGCTTCACCATCTTTCTGAACTCCTTCTCCCGCTCCCTCACCCTGAGCTTGTCTCCTAGCAGGAAGGCCTTTTTCTTTTGGACCAGGCTGATCTTCATGTCCTTTGGCACCCATTTCTTATTGTTTGGATGGATTGTGATGTGTTTGGTGGGAGTGACAGTGTCCTCACAGAATAAGATAGAAGATGTCAGCACATCTGTCAGCATGTTGAAATCATCACCACAGTCATTAAAACACAGATCCCAGTCTGTCAGTTCAAAGCAACCTTGAAGTGTTTCTGTTGCCTCTTTATTCCAGACTCTGATTATTTTATGGGTTCACCTGTTTTCAGCTGTGATCTGTATTTTTCCAGCAACAGGATGACATTGTGGTCAGAGCATCCAAGGGGTGGGCGTGACTTTGAAATACATGCACCAGGGATATTGCCGTAACATAAGTCCAATGTTTCCTGCAGTCTGGTGGGAGTTGTGACACATTGTTCCAGTTTGGGCAGGTATGTGGTGATGTCACCACCAGTGTGGAATTAGGAAAAAAATACTTCAGCACATCAGCAACATGATAAAACATCACAACAAAACTCAGGACTTGCATGTGAGGGAGGGTGTTGGGGAGGGGATGTGTCACAGCTCAGACACCGGGGGGAGCGCGCAGCCACCAGGCGCCTCGCATCATCCCACAGCATACTGGTCTGTGACTGGGGAGGGAGAGGGAGTGGGGAGCCAACCAGGCGGTGAGTCCAGGATGTGTGTGTGTGTTGTGTGTCTTCATGGATGTGTAAGTCCATGAACTTCATCGCCGCCCAGACTCAACAGTGTCTCTGCCGTCTGATGCTGTTGACGGGACACGGCTGTTGCCGTGGGGACGACCTTGAAGAGTTCTGATCCAGAGACAAAGATCACAGGAGAAGGAGGGGGGTGGGGAGGGGCGAGCATCTGTCTGCATAACATCCAGGAAAAGTGGAGCGATATCAGAGATAAGCCGAAGTGGGGGAGCCAAATGAAGATAACGAAGATTGTTTGGGTCAGTCCGACGTGTGATTTACCGTCAGTCCTTACAGTCCCACTGGTTCTCTCTATAATCCAAAAAGACGAATTCGATGGACCATTTACAACTGGATCGGTCAGTTCAACTGCTCAAAGTTGGTACCCATCTTGCGAATAAGTTCTGGAATCCCATCCAGTTTGCGATTAAGTTCGCATATCGCTTGAGTCTGAGCCTGAAATATTCCATCAGTGACGGGCAGCTTCTCAATTGCCAAAGTGCTGCCATCGTCTTCCGAACTTTGCAATAAAACAGGAACCCACAAACTCCAAACAGCAGGAAACCTGTTATCACGATCCCGATTCTGTAGATGTCTTCAACATCTTCCACAGAAAGTATAGAGAGGCACACGACCCTCCACTCCTTCCAGGAGTCCGTCGTGGATCCCGCTGCAAACGTTCCGTCAGGGCAGGCGGGCTCTCCTTTGCCCAGTTTTCTTGTCGAGATAATTTGATCAATTGCATTGAGAGACCAGCTGATCAAATCCATGATTTCAGGTTTTGGAGAGAAATGCAGAGAGAGACAAAGAGCAGGAAACAGGGAAGACAAGGACAAGGTTGGGAGCGAGAGAAACAGTGTCCACCTTCGTTACGAAGGAAGATGTGTTTCCTAATCTGATAAATAAATAGCATATATTAATATAATATAATGTTAGAATTTATGTTATAATAACACAGCAATGTGCCTACACAGGGCTATAGACTAGTGACTAGCATATCAAGGGAAGCAACCAGGAATGCTAAACTAGTCACTTGCTATTGACTGGGATTCTTATGTTAGCCACCGGAGGTGCCTTGTGACAAGTGTTCTTTGGCTATTAATGTGCATTCTTAGGCTAAAAACAACATTCCTGGGCTAGCGACAAGTATTCCTCAGTTAATGACTAGCGTTCTTAGGCTAATGAATAGCATTCCTAGGCTAGCGACTTGAATTTGCGTACTTGTGAACTTTGTGTTGCGGCTGCAGGAAGGTTTTCTCTGATGTGCTTCTGTTATTTTATTGTTCTGAGTGCTGACAGCTGCTCAGATTAGCTGCTGACTGTTCAGAGGGATTATAAAGCTGTGAAGTTTCCCAACTTTCACTGTGAACACAGTCCTACACAGATAAATCAGG